CCAAGCTTCTCAGATCTCCTTTGGAGTTGATGATGATATTAAGAATTGCAACTCACCATCTAAGGACAAGAATCTCAATAGCAACTGAGATAAGCAAGCAGTAGACATCACATCCATTTTTCTCGGAGAGTTGCAGTATGCATTTTCCCCGCTCAGTTTTGCAAAACACAGCAATGCAACACTTAGGAAGGCAAGACGAGGAAAAATTAAAGGCACACGGTGAGCCATAATAAGCAAGTCACGTGTTTTGCATCCCACTAAGTATTCAGTAGCAAAGCAATTTTAACAGACCCAGAAATGCAATCTGATACTTGAATGGAGAGAGAAAAATTAGCACGGTGAGCTGGAGGAGGAGCCAAGGGCTGAATTAATTAGTCTAGGGCTTTCAAACCATGTTCTGCAACCCTGCAGCTTTACAGAATAAATTTCTCTTGTGAAGCTATTTTAATATAAACACCATAAAAATGGAAATAAGTATATTATAAATTCACAACCACTAGCCTGAACTTTAATACCCTAGTAAATATATTTTGCTACTTCAGACTTCCTCTGTCTGTGATCATTTGCTATATAAATTTTTTTACAGTACCTGTTGTCATGTAGACAGCAGTAAAGTTTAGATTCTTCCTTAAGTCTTAAAATCAGTTTTGTTGAAGGATAATTAATTTTAAAATATAATGCACCCTATTATTATTATTATTGAAACAGAGTCTTGCTCTGTTGCCCAGGCTGGAGTGCAGTGGCACAATCTCGGCTCACTGCAACCTCCACCTCCTGGATTCAAGTGATTCTCCTGCCTCAGCCTCCTGAGTAGCTGGGACTACAGTGAGTGCCACCAAGCCCAGCTAATTTTTGTATTTTTAGTAGAGATGGGGTTTCACCATGTTGGTTAGGCTGGTCTCAAACTCCGAACCTCGTGATCCATCAGCCTTGGCATCCCAAAGTGCTGGGAATACAGGCATGGACCCCTGCATCCGGCCAATGCACCCACTTAAATTGTATGGTTTGATGGGCTTTGCCAATGTGTACATCTGTGTAACCACACTCACGGTCCATAGAAAAAATATTTTCATTACCCCAGAGTTCCCTGTTCTGCCTCAGTGCCAGGTGCCACCATCCCAACCCCATGGAGACTAGATCTCCTTCCTGCCAGCCTGGGTTAGAGAAATGGAGCCGTGACCATTTGTGAATCGCTATTTTCATGCAACATGATGATTCTGGGATTTGTCCATGTGGGGGCAGGTATCAGTGGCTCATCCCTTTTCAATGCTGAATATTACTCCCTCTGGATGTACCAAAATGTGTTCATGCTTTCGTGCAGTGTTACAATAAAGATGTTCTGAACACTGGGCCTCAAGTGTCTGTGTGGAAATATTTTATTCTCATAGGCGAAGACCTGAGAATAGAATTCTGTAATAATATTATGTATGCATGTTTAGAACACTGGAACGGTTCTCCAAAGTCGTGCTCCATTTTACAGCACCATCAGCAATGGCCGGGTTCCAGCTGCCTCACCTCTTCACAGATGTCTGTTAGGTCAGGCTTTGGGTTACAGCCATGCTAGTGGCTGTGTGGTGGTATATCATCATAGCACTGACATGAGTTCCTCTGGTTACAAATAATGCTGAACATCATTTTATGTTATTACTATTTGTAAGCCTTTTCTTGTGAAGGGCTATTCAAATAGTTCACCCACAAAAGTTAATTCCTTATTCTAGATATAAGTCCTATTTCAGATACACGTATTGCACGTATTTTCTCCCAGTCTGTGAATTGTCTTTTCTTTCTCCTAAGTGTCTTGCTAACACTACTAGTTTTTAAGTTTTGAGGAAGTTTAATTTATTAATTTCTTTATGGTTTCTGCCTTTTATGCCCTGGCTAAGACACTGTTATTACCCTGAGGTGCAAAGCTTTTCTTTTATATCTTCTTTGAAAAGTTTTATAGTTTTAGATTTCACGTTTCTAATAATGAATCTTGGATTAACTTTTGTGTATGTTGTGAGGTGAGGTTGAGATTTTCCCACCATATTGATATCTAGGATGACTACCCAGCTGGTCTAGCACTATTTGGTAAGAAGTTTATTCTTTTCATATTGAAGGGTCTTGATACCTTTTTCAAAAATCAGTTGGCCCAATGTATGTAGTTCTGTTTGCAGACTTTCTCTTCTATTTAGCTCTGTCTCTTCTTTCACCAACACTTTTCCACCTTGATCCTTGTAGCTTTAGAGTAGATCTTGAAACCAGTTAATATGAGTCCTCCCACACTGTTCTTCTTTTTCAAACTTTTTTCAACCATTCTAGGTTTTTACATTTCCATACAAATGTTAGAATTAACTTGTTAAGTTTTATAAAAGGAATCCCTAGTAGGGCATTACGAGCATTCGCGCATCCTGACTCTCACAGTCAACGTCCTACTCTTCCAATTTGTCAACACTCTGCCATTTTTTGGTATATCACGGTTTTCTAATACATTTTATTATTTTTATTCTAATGACATCACTCCATGGCAAGGAGCTGTTCTAGGGTATTTTTTACTCTAAATTTCCAATCATCATTTCCAGTTTCTTCTTAAATTGATAGCTTAAGTAAGTTTGTAATTATCATAAATAGATTTAGTTTCATGCCTTTCTGACAATGCACCGTGTTTCTACAAGGAGCCTTCATTCCCAAAGGATCCGTGCCTGGCCAGCTCCAGCCTGCCACAGCGACACTGTAACCTCACGGGTTCAGTCCTGTGCCCAACGCTCAGGACCGTCGGCCCAGTCAGCTCACCTGGAAGTCAAGATTCCAAGTGTCAACTGCCTTACTTCCGGCGGTGCCGTGGTCCAGCCAATTTAACAGGCAGTATGGCAATTGTTTTTAAGGGGGAATTTCGCAGACATGTTTGCAATACAGTTATTTTTTCAAATGAAACAATTGGTCAATTCTTGGTTTCTTTTTTTTCCTTTCCAAACACTTTTAAAATGGAATAATGATATAATGATCAGCATTAATGAGTATGGTGTTCAAAAATTAATACTTTCTCTCGATATACATGTATTATCTATATTATTAGTAAATAATATCATATAGATTTTATATATAATCTATCATGTCATATACAGTTTATATGGTTCATTCTTTATTCGATATAATATACGTATATTAATAGATATAATAC